ACACACACACACACACACACACACACACACACACACACACGAAACATGGACAGTTTGAAGCCACCAGCTTCTGCTCAGGAAAAAGATGAGGCAGTTCCCTCCTGTTAAAATTTACAGCCTCAGAAACCCGATGGAGTGGTGACCAGCAGGTTTTATATTTTCTTTTTTGAAAACCACTTACTATTAGGCTTTGTTTTTCCGTATATATGTGTGTGTATGTGTCTGAGGTTTTCCCCAGTTGCCATCGAGCCAACCTTGACTCCTGGCGAGCCCAGGTGTGTCACAGTAGAACTATGCTCAACTAGCTTTTCCGTGGCTGGTTTTTTACCTCTTGGGGACTCAAATCTCACATACACTAGAAACAGAGCAAGCCATAACTTGGTGGGGCTGCCTTGTTTCTCCAGGTCTGGAAAGTTCTCCCCGGTGACAGCATGCAGCCAACCACTTTTCCATGACTCTATCAGCTGAAAACATGAGTGAGCCATTATTTCTTCTCTGACAGGTTCCAGCATCTGAAGATTCTTCGTAGCGTCCACTCAGGCTGGACAGAGTTTCTGGGTGGTATAAAAGGTTGTAGGTCCAGCTACTCATTAAATGGTTGGTAGTTCAAATCCACCCAAATGGCGACTTTTAACCTCACAAAAGGAAAACCTACCAACCGCCCACTGCTGTTGAGCTGATTCCAATTTACAGTGGCCCTCCACTGGGTTTGTGAGGCTGTAAATCTTTCTAGTAGGAGATTGTCCATATTTCCTCCTTGAAGTACCCAGTGGATTCAAACCACTGACTTTTTGGTTAGCAGTGCCATGCATAATGCACTACACCACCAGGGCTCCTGTTCATCAATGTCATAGCCACTGACCACCCTATGCAGCCCAGATCTGCTCTGCACACACAGGGTCGCCCCGAGTTGGAATCAAGTTAATGGCAATGGCTTGGTTTTGAAAGCTGGACATTTTCCCAAAAGCAGAAACAATGAAAACCACATGCGGGGGCGGGGGGAGGGGGGCACGTGGGCAGAGGGTAGCAGGCAGGCACCTGGCAGCTGTCCAGGGAGGTCTTCAGCCTCTCGATGTTCTCCAGGACCTCCTCCTGCTTGGAGTTCTTGAGCTGCGTCTCCTTCTGCAGGATCCACTTTTTCTGCTGAAGGGAGATGCTTTCCTCGGTGATCTGGGTAATTTTCTCAATCAACTGGTGAGGAAATGGGGGAAAAGGGAGGAGTTAAAGGCCTGGTGGTTTTGGGAGGTCACCGATATCTAGGAGGAGGGGTCACGTGGTGACTTTGACTTTGAACACTGACAATAGGAAACATTTTCCAGAGTCAGAGATTATGGCTAAGAGCCCAAGGCCAGTATTGCTGCCATGGACGTGTCCCAGGCTCATCAGAATTGTTACAATAACTCGAACATCATTCGAACATGAAGTCCATACTTGGGAGGTCAGATTCCATCACACCCGATGAGAGCGACCCCAACAGGGTTTCTTATAGCTGCATCAACACAGAGTAGTAAAGTATGTCGGGACGAGTAACCACATGATACTGACAGCCAGGGGTCCAGCCTCACTCCACCCTGAGGAGGAACAAGCTGCCACACATCCAGTGTCACGAGGCAGCCTCTTTCCTCATGGTTCAGGAGGCTTAAGCATATGTAGCTGCAGAACAGAAAGAGTCCTGGCCAGCTGGATTTGATTTTCACAGAAATGTTTTTGAGGAAGAGAGCTCTGGTGGCCTAGTGGCAAGAAGGTATGCTGTAATTCTGAAGGTGTGTGGTTCGAATCCACCAGATGCTCTGCTAGAGAAGGAGGGGCAGTCTCCTCCTGTGCTGGTTGGATCCAACTCGATGGCACAAAAAAAAAAAGAAGAAGAAATGTTTTTGAGGGAATTTAAATGGGCTTTTATCCTTTAAAAGCTAGGAGATCCCATAAAAGCAAAACAACTCTAAAGAGTGCAGCGACAGTGTGAAAAGTATGTGCCACCAACAAAACAGAAACATATGCTGTCAGGGTCTGGAATCCCAGCGCCTGGAAGAAAAAAGCAAAGGAGTCAAGTGGCAACAAGAAAGCCAGACCGACCTGTTGATCGGTGATGAGCTTGTCCTGAAACGGCTTCGCGCGTCCATACGCGGCCTTGATAACCTGGCTTCTGAAATGCTCAAGCTGCAGACAGAGGAAAGGCAAGAGTCAGCGGGATGATGGGGTGCAACTGGAGCCAACAAGCCAGGGTGTTGCCTTTACATGGTGGGGGCTCGGGGGAAGAGAAAATTCGAAGAGCCTGCCTGTCTTTGATGAGATCATTCCACCTGATTTAACTCTTTGCCTCTCGCCGGAAGTGGCCGGACCCACAGAGGAAAGACAACAGCAGGTCGCAATCATTTCGTTGGCTTGACTGCCTAACCCAACTGACGCACGTGGTCAGGCACACACATGTCTCAAGCCCTCAGAAGAGGCGCCCGCTGCCAATTATCCAATGGGAAGTCTGTGACTGGGAGTGCTTTTCCCTAATTACTAGGCTAGTACCAGACTGTGGAATAAATATTGGGGCTGTCACAGCCCAACTAAACTGTGTAGTCAGCCAGGTGCCCAGGGGGAGAAGGATGCTCTCCACGCTGCCGTTCTGTGCCTTAGATGGTGACTGGAAAGAGGCTGCTGACTGCACTGATCTCTATAATCGTGGAGCCTGGTACGCTGCCTGACATAGACTCTCTCTCTCATTGCCATTGGATCAGAACTCACTCATAGCTGACCCTCCAGTGGATTTTCAGCAGCTGTATGGGAGCAGACTGCCTATCTTTTTCCCTCAAAGCACTGCCTTTGGGTTGGCAGCTCAACTCCCTCTCCGCTAGGCCACCAGAGCTCCCCTGGCACAGAGGAGACACTCAATACGTATTTGTTGAATGCTTGTGGCCACAAACATCCGTTCCAGGCAAGGTCCTTTAATTCAGCTCAGCTGGCTTTTATTGAGTGCCTCCTGTGTGCTGGTGTTTCTGGATTAAGACTGATGCACGAGCTCAGTAAAGTCTGGGATTGTTGTTATGTGCAGTCAAGTCGTCTGTGACTCACAGCAACCCTGTGTACAACAGCCCTAAGCCCTGCTCTATCCTGTGCCAGTCTCACGGTCTTTGACACACCTTATCTGCATTACCCCAGTCACCAAATCAATCCATCTCATCGAGGGTCTTCCTCTCCTGTGCTGTCCCTCCAGTTTAGGATTAGAATCACAAATTCTACCCAGAAGGTAGAAGCAGAGAGGTCCTTTCTCCAGGAATCTACCAACATGGTGGGGAGTTTTGACTTTGGTCCCCTGGCAAAATGTGGTCATCACAGCAACTAAAATGTGAAAAGCCACTAAGTCCACGTAAAGGTCAATCCTCTCCATGACCCAGGGGTATACCGCACACCAGGAAGTTCTGGAAACCAAGTCGGTGAAGTGCTACATCTCTTGAGAGCATCTCTCCAAGCATCAGGCCAGAAGCAGCCTGGGGTAACTCGAGGTGCTCTAAACTGAGATCATACTCTGGTTTCAAGATCAAAAGGAAGGCCTAGCTCATCCAAGGATAAGATTCTTTGCAGGGGACCCTTTGGGGGACTGGAGCCACATTACCAGCCTGCAGGGATGACTGGTCAGGCGTGGGCTGATGTCTCATTACTCCTGGGCGACAAACTCAATTCTAGAGTCATCTAGACTCCAGACAGACAGATGGGTAGACAGGGAGTAGGGTCCTAGAGATAGAGCAAGTGTCAGTAAGAAGGCTCACACCCTCTCTTATCCAGACCTGAGGCATCTCAGGATCTCCCAGGATCCTCCTGGATGGCCTCTGCCCAGAGTTACAGAAAGACCTTGGCACATGTACATGTCACAGATAAGGCGGGCACTGGAGGAAGGGCGGAATGCAGGAAAGGTGAGGGGTAGCTCAGGTACACAACAGGTACTCTCTGTCTTTGAGAAGTTGGCATCTGCAGGACAAATGATCCTGGGTGAGCATGACTGCAGACGACACTTGTTGTAGTGACCCTAATATCTGCACAATAGTTAAAGTCACCCTTCGATGTGTGAGTGAGTGCCTCTCAGTTTCAGCACAGGGAAACACAGCCCAGCAGGCTCACTGCTTGGCTTAGGGTTCGGACAATAGAGAGCAGAAGTGTCCTGGGAGGAAGTTGATGGGAGGGGATCCTTTCAGGATTGTGGTTCATCAAGTTTGCAGTGGGCTCTCAGCCTCTTCTAAGAATCTGATGAGTGACATGGAAGACCCTCACTCTCAGGAAAAAGGGTCCAAACACAGGTTATGTTTGTTATCCCATAGAGAGCCTGGAACCATACTGCCAGGTGAGGGCCCTGGGGAAGGAGACACAGGGAGCTGTCTTTAGGGGCTGCATTCTAGAATTGTCTGAGCTCAGTCTTGGCTTCTGGTTTAGCCTACGGTGCAGACTCATTTGGACATCTGACCCTTGTGGGTTGTGCTAGGTGTGACCGGAAGGGCCACTGGGCCGCTCTTGGGCTGGAGAATCAAAGGTGGTGGAGGGGTGGGAGGAGCCTGTCACACCATGTCAGGCACTTCTGCATTCAGCACAGACTTGCATGTCCTGATGTTTTGTTGTATTTTAAAAAACGTAGCATTTTCTATGGATGCTGACTGTGACATGTGCTGGGGGACTCAGAAGGAAGGAAGCGTGTGGTTTGTGTCAGCATGGAAAACATCAGGGAGAAAAGACTGGAAACACTGACAGGGTTAAGGAGCTTAAATCTCTCCCAGGAGGTGATGGCGTGGCCAGCTACCAGGGGCCGCAGTCGCTGCCTGGCCAGGGTCTGGGGCCCAGCAGCTGAGTGAGTGAGGTGCTTCGCAACACGGGACAACCCCTGGGATGCAGAAGCCACAGGATGCCTCTGCACAGACGATAAAAGGGAGCTGACACCGTGTCCTCCCTCAGGGCCGCCTCTTCCTCATGCTCCCCCACCGCCTGGGTGCAGAACTGAGGGGTGGGTGAGGGCCCAGGAAGGGGCTCTGGCGCTCGCCTACCTGACCTACTGCCCTTTCCAAATTGACTTTAATGAGGCTCTCTCTGCTCCCCATTTCTTGCAGATGAAGTAATTTCCTTCTGGAATCCTCCTGAAGCTTCTCTTCAACCTGAAATGATGATGAAAGGATGTGCTTGCTGCTAATGTGATCATAATGCACTCCAGGGACACGCCGTGAGGAGGTTTAATGGCCGTGGGGGCGTCCCAGAGGAGTAGGGACAGCTGCAGCCCATGTGTTGGGGTCAAGGGCGGGAATGGGGCAGGGGGAGACAGGCCCAGGGGGTGCTGTCTCCTGGGGAAAAGGCTGAGTTCTGCACCCTGTGCTCAACTATATTTTTCCTACCCCAGGTTCTGAACAAGCCGCTCAGCCTTGGAAAGTTGCTTTGTGAACTCCGTGCCTCAAAGTTCTCATCTGTCAAATGGGTGCGATGATCATAGTCCCCACCTCACAGGTGTAGCACTCAAATATGTTTAGAAATAGTGCCAAACCCAAACCAAACCCATTGCTAGCCCTCCATCAGGTGTCCAAGGCTGTGAATCTTAAAGGGAGGAGACAGCTTCATTTTTCTCTGAGGAGCAGCAGCTTGAACTGCTGACCTCTTGGTTGGTAGCCTGACACTTAATCAGGGATCCTAGAACAGTGCCAGCACTCGGTAAACCAGAAGCCACTGTTGTCAAGTTGATCTGACTCGTAACGACACTCGGACAAATAGAAGTGCCCACAGGGTTTCCCTGGATGTAAGTCTTTATGGAACCAGACTGGTGAAACTTTCTCCCATATAGCACCTGGTGGTTCAAACCCCTGACCACCTCCTTCTTTTTTTAAAATTTTTAAAATTTTATTAATTTTAATGAACATTTACAGAGATTTTGGATTTCCATTCATTCCCTTTTTCATTTTTCTCCCTGCACCCCCCCCCTCAGTTCGCTCTTCTCTTTGAAAAGTAAAATAAAAATTCTTTCATTGGTATACAATCCCTGCGCCCCCCCCCCCAGTAAACTCCACTATACAGCCTTCATTCTGGACTCTTGTCATGACTATAATACCCAATCATATATCGCTTTTAAACTGTTCTCTCCCGCATCTGTTTCAATGCAGTATACATAATTTATCCAATTTTTCCCAGCCTCCCCTCAACCTTGATGTCAGTCTCGTTTTACAACAGTGGCACTAAGCAGTATTTGTCCTTTTGTGACTGAGGTATTTCACTCAGCATAATGTCCTCCAGGGTCATAATTTTGAATAATATTGCACGAGTTCCTTGTTTTTCAATGCAGCGTAGTATTCCATTGTGTGAATATACGACAGCTTCTCTATCCATTTGTTGATGGGCACTTGGGTTGTTTCCAACTCTTTGCTATTGTGAACAAAGCTGCAATAAACATGGGTGTGCAGACCCCTGACCTTCTCATTAGCAGCTGATCATTATAACCACTGCACCATCAGGTCTCCATAGTACTTTGTAAACCCACTGTCATCTAGTCTAGTCTCCCTTATGTTGCTGTTGTTATGTGCCTGTCTTTCTCCTGTGGAGTGGCTGAAGGATTTAAAGTGAAGACATTTGGTTGGGAGTGTAACACATTATTGTTGTTGTTGTACCATGGAGTCAGAACCAACTCACAGCTGACCCTCTGGCAGGTTTTCAGAAGCAGTTAATTGCATGGGAGGAGACTGTTCATCATCCTCTCGTGGAGCAGCTGGTGGCCTTGAACCGAATGCCTTCAGGATTGCAGCTCAGCTTCTTACCCCTAGGGCACCAGAGCTCCCCATTAACACTTGTTATTGCTGTTGTGAGGTGCCACTGAGTTAAATAAGACTCATAGCAATCCTATAAACAACAAATCTGAGCCCTGTTGTTTCCTGTGTCATTCTCATCATCTCTGAAATTCTCAAGCCTTTGCTGCAGTCATTGTGTCCGTTTGTCTGGTTGAGGGTCTTCCTCTTTTTCACTAACCCTCCACCTTTCCAAGCATGATGACCTCCAAGGAATAGCTGCTCCTAGAAACACGTCCAGAGTCTGTGAGACAAAGCTTTGCCTCCAAAAAGCACTCTGGGTTCACCTTCTCTGAGACCTATCTGTTTGTTCTTTTGACAGTTCATGGGATATTCTGCACTGTTCTCCAACACCATAGCTCAAAGGCATCAATAATTCTTCTGTCATCCTTGTTCACTGTCCAGCTCTCGGATGCACACAAACGATTGAAAAGATCATGGTCTGAGTCAGGTGCACCTTAGTCTTCAAACTGACATCATTGCTCCTCAATAATTTGGAGAAGCCTGTGACTGTTGACTTCCCATGTGCAATACATCTTCTAGCTTGCTGGCTGCTGGCAGCAAGGGTGTTGATTGTTGATCCAAGTAAAATGAAGTTATCCACAATTTCAATCTTTTCTCTGTCCATCACAATGTTGCCTATTGGTTCAGTGGTAAGAATTTTTGTTTACTTAACATTGAAATGTGACCCATATTTGGAGGCTGTATTCTTTGATCTTCTGCAGCAAGGATTTCAAGACCCCCTCATTTCCAGCAAGCACGATTGTGTCATCTGCATAACATAGGTTATTGGTGATTCTTCTTTACAAGTCTAGCTTTTTGAATAATTTGCCCAACATACAGATTGAATAGGAGAAAGGATACAACCCTGACATACAATAGTTTCTTAATTTTAAGCCACGTGGTATTCCTTTTCTTTCTTAACAGCCTCTTGGTCTATATAAAGGTTTTGTCTGAGCACAATGAAGTGTTCTGGGATTCCCTTTCCTCTCAATGTTAGCCATAATTTGTTATGATCCACACAGTCAAATGCCTTTGCTTAGTCTATAAAGCACAAATAGATATTTTCCTGGTATTTACTCTCAGCCAGGATCCATCTAACATCAGCAAAGATATCATGGGTGCCACGGCCTCTTCTAAATCTACCTTGAACTTCTAGTATTCTCTGTGTACTATTCTAGACATTTTGGAATGATCTTCAGCAGTATTTTACTTGCATATGATATTAATGATCTTGTTCAGTAAGATCCACATTCTGTTGGATCATCTTTCTTGGGAATGGGAACAAATATGAATCTCTCCCAGTCAATTGTTCTCCAAAACTCCTGGCTTAGACTAGTGAGTGTATCCAGGGCCACTGCATCTGTTAATTGAGTAAAAGTTTTAAAAAACCCTCCAAATGCACTGCCATTGAAGTGGTTCTGATAAATAGCAGCCCTCCATTGGGTTTCAAAAGTTATAAAATGCAATGTAAGAAGACTTCTCACCTTTCTTCTGCAGGGCTACTAGTGGCTTTGGACTGTCCCTGGTCCTGGGGTTAACAGTAAAATTCACTACAGATGACACCACTCGCATTCCCTTAGAATTTAGCAAGGGTTCTAGAATTATGTTAAGTATCGTAACTCATAAAATGGGAACGAAAACACCACACATATAGCATAAATACATATGCTAATACTATAAGTAACATAGCCAGATCAGGACATAGTGGATACTTGCTATATGTTATCACTGGGCTTGTAATCATTACTATTTGTCATTGCTGCTGTTAGCACATTCATTCACCAATGGAAACATCTGAGAGATCAAGCAACCAAAATGAATGGACTGCAGCATGCAAAGGAAGGTGCTGAAATTGAGGAAACTTGCTTATTTACGTCTAGTCTCTCTTTTCAAATGTTTTATCATGATTTGCATATAAGTTTATAAAGAGAATTGGTTTCCGTGCAACAATTCATACACTATACACAGCTCGCCCAAGTGAGCTTCAGAGTGTTCAATGCTGCCCTCTACTGGCAAATACAGGCCCTGCAGTTTTTGCTTAAACGCTGTAAACCAACAAGTTTGAAAAATTAATTTTTGAACAATAAACATTGATTGAGTGCCTTCTGAGCCTTGGCCTTTGTCACTTTCAGGAAATGATGCAAAAACTCCTCAATTAAAAGACTTTATGTTGAAATAACTTCATAGTTGGCTATTAGAGGCTTCTTGTGCATCTGAACACTTAATTGTGCTCATATAAAACCTATACATGAAGCCAAAGCAAAGACATTAAAGGCCAAGAAGGCAGGACTGAAGGGCATCCACAGCCAAAAAAAAAAAAAA